CGCCCGGCGACCCCGCCCGCGTCCCTCGCCGCCAAGGACCGCGTGCGCCGCGCGCTGGACGCCGTCGCGGGCGACTGGGAGAAGGCCGTCGCCCTGCTCGCCGAGCGCGACCCGAAGCGCGCCCGCGACCTTAGCCGCAATGATTGGTACAGGCTCACGCGCGCCATGGAGGTCGTGGAGACCACCGGCGTGCCCATGACGGAGATGCCGCTGAGGGGCGCCGCGCCGAACGCGGAGGGCGAGCTGTTGGATTATGACTTTCGCTGCGTTTTTCTTTACGCAGATCGCGTCGGCCTCAATCGCCGCATCGATGAGCGGTGCGAGGAAATGATCGTGGGGGGCGCGCAGGGGGAGGGGAAGGGGACCAGCGTGCTTGAGGAAGTGGCACAGCTCGTCGGGTCAGGGGAGCTGTGCGTGGTGCAGGGGTCGCCGGCGCTGGCGATTGGATACCGGCAGACGATTGCGTATCTAGTCGGCCGAGCGCTTGCAGTGGGCCCACAGGCTGTGACAGAAGGGGAGGGTGAGGATGAGGGCGGGCGTAGTGAGGCCGTGAGTGCGTTCCGGACGTACGTAGAGACGTTTCAGGCGGCGACGCGTGGGTATGCCAAGCAGCAAATGGCGTGGTTTCGGAAGGAACAGGGCTTTCGTTGGGTACGGTCCGGGGAGGAAGCAGTGGCGTCTGTGACGGCGATAATGCAGCTAAGCGAGAAGGAGTATCGCGTGTGCGGTGAGGTGGGGGAGGCGCAGCAGCTAGACATCAGGGAGGACATGGTGCGGCAGGGGCGGCTGATGAAGACATATGTGGCGGAGAAGAAGGTGCTAGTGGAGGGAGGGGAGCGGGAAAGAATGGCTGTAGAGATGGCGGAGCGGTGCGCGAGGGAAATGGCGACCATGTTGGAGGTGGCAGAATTGAAGCGGATTCAACGGGTAGTGGCGAGGTAGGGCGGCGATGATGGAAGGAGCTTGTTGTTTACAATGTTTCGGGAAGGCTGTTGCGCTTACACCGCGCTGTTCTCCTCCGAGTCGTCGAGTTGCCTCACATCCTCGATGGACACGTCGCAGATCTCGGGAATCCTCTGCATGAGGAACGAGGACACTCTGGCAAGCTATGACAGGGGAGGACGGGAAGCGGAAAAGAAGCGTCAGTAGGGGAAGGTGATGGGGCTCGGCTTAGGATGAGAATAAGGAAGGAAGCGACTTACAACGTCGGCGCGCTTGTGCCAAAAACGGCCTTTGAGGGAGAGGACGACGATGGGGCCATCAAGCTCGGACAGAGAGACGTCGCCCGTGATACCTACGCCACGGTTCTCGGCAGAATTACCGAAGACGCTGCCTAACTTGACGCGGACCTCGTTGAGGGCTTGGACGACGTTCTCTTCAGTGAGGACGAGGGTGTCGTCGGCGGAGGCGATCGGGACAGAAAAGGGGGAGGAAACTACAGGGCGGCGATGGGAACGGCGGTGCACCGGGACGGGCGGGCGGACACAACGACGCAGGGAGAAGCGCTGTAGGGGGAGGAAAGGAGTTTGAATGAAAGCAGGCATTGCGAAGGGGGTGGACGGGGAGGAAGACGGGATAAGGGGATGAGGATATGGAGGGCTGTGTTGTCGCATGGTGTAATCGGTGTCTCAAAAATATACGGGATGCTGATCTCCCGGGTTTGTTTATTCCCGTTGCCGCCTTCTCTTCGCCGCGCGCGGTGGCATGCTTTTCCCGCCCCCCCTCTTCCCGTTGGGCGTCGGCGGCGGGGTCAGGTCGCGGTGCACGATGATCTGACTCTGGCTAGCGTCCAAGCTCCACCCCCTTTCCTCCTCAGCGTCGTGCGCGTCCAGCGACACGGACCGCGACCGCGCCGACCGCCGCCGAGGCGCCGTCCCCACCTCGCCCTCGTTCCCCGCCCCCTCGTCCCGCATCCGCGATTTGAGCAGCCCGTCCGTGAACCGTCGGAACAGCTGCTCCCCCGCCTCGCTCCCCCCCTCAGCCCCCGCCCCCGTCCGCGCCTGCACCTTGCTCAGCCGTGGCGACCGCCGCGCCGCACCCGTCTTGACAGACCCCAACAACTTGCCTTCCGCTTCTGTCCCACGCCGCGCCCGCGCTGTCGACCGCGCCCGTCCGGGTTGTGTTGCCACCGTGGCCTCAAGCGCCTCCACGGCTATCTCCGCGTCCACCTCCTCTACCAGCGCGTCCTTGTCGTCCGCTTCGTCGGGCGCATAGTCCCCGGCGTCCACAATGTCTCCTGCTTCCGCACACGCCAGCAACCACTTGTACGACACGATCGCGATCCCCCATCGTTTCGCCTTTTCAATCTTCTCGCTCCTGGTCGCCGTGCGCGCGTCCGCGATCAAATGCGTCGTCTTCCCCTTCGTCATCCGTTCGCTATACCCCGCCCCGAGCCCCCTCGTCAGCCGCGCGAGCACGTCCCTCCGCCGATTGGGCTCCCTCTCCGCCGACATCTGGTGCCCCGTGATCGTCACGGACACCTTCCTTCTTAGCATCTCGCGCAGCGGCGTCTCGTGCGGCACGGGCGCAAAAAGTACGCAGTCTGTCACGGGCACCAACCGCTCTTCCTGCAAGCACGCGTCGATCCACGTAGTCGTCACGATCACCACGTGGGAGTTCACCTTCTGCGCTGTCTCTACCACGCGTCGCCCGCCCGCGGAGAGCGACTCCCCGCACACTACGTGCGTCGCCACCCCGCTCGTCACCACGCCCCGCGCGTCATGTGGAAGTACCTTGCCCCTCCCGCGTTGTAGCTTCCGCGCCACCGCCGCCACCGCCCCCGTGTCGTACAGCGCCAGCGGACCGAGCGCGCATCGCATCCCCACAAACAGCCGCGAGTGGAAGTCCGCCTGCGGCCGGAACTGCGTCGACCGCTCGTTCGGCTCCTCCGCGTCCCAGTCGTACCGATCCACTTCCTCGTCTTCCACGACGCACTGCTTCACCACGCAGCGTTCAAGCCACTCAAGAGAGACCACTGCTACGCCCATGCGCTGCGCTCGCTCCAGCTCGGCGATCTTCGTGCGTAGTACTGGCGCTCGGATTAGCACCACATAGTTTACGCGCCGCGTCAACTCCGCGGCGAGAGACCCACCCCCAGACGCAATGAGCTTTAGCGCTTTGGCTCTTAGTGGGGCATGTAACACCTTTTCTTGTGCTGTGCAAGGAGTTAGATAGAACGTCATCCCATCCAGATACAGGCCTGGTTTGGTTTCATTCCACTTAGACACCCGCTCCTGCTGTGGTACATGTTTTGTAACAGAACTTGGAGTGCGAGTCGGCGCCGCACTTGGAATTGAACTCGGTGCCGCACTTGATTCCGCACGGCCATCTGAAGCTGTTCCCCCCTGTCGCTCTAAAGTCTCTGATCGCCTCGCGGACGGGGCAGTTTCGCTGTTGTTCGTTTTCGCTGCCCTTGATCTGTGGTTGACGAGGTAGAGGTCCTCCTCGACCAGCAGCTTCTCCTTTGCGCACTGATACACCCATTCCTTCGTGACGACTCGCATTGAGCTCATGCTCCTCGCAAAATCATACTTCTGCCCGGTGGGCTTGAGACAAATGAGGTGCGTGCACGTCACGCGGAGAACTTTCGAAAACGAGGCACCCATCTCCCGCGCAAGGGTTTCGATTTTCTGTTTCTCATCCATGCCATATCCGGAGCAGCATAGTGAAAAGCCTTCCAGCGGTGGCAAGGCGTGACTGCCCGTCGGGACGCGTGCGAGGGCGTTCTCGACGGCGTCGAGCCATGACGGCATGACAATATGCATGCGCGAGCGATCTGGACCCGCCTCCAGGTTCCGCAGACACGCGTCGCGATGCTTAGTAGACCCCGCCTCGGCGCAAATCAAATGCGTTACTGTGGGCAAAATCTCTGCCTCGAATGTGCCGCCCAACGCGGAGACGCGATTGCAAAACGAGTCGACAGCCTCCACCGAATCGAATTCCACGCCAGAGCAGGTGAGCACGCATCCTGCTAGCACCTTGGCGCGAGACTTTCGGGAGCGTTGATACATGACAGACTTGGGAACAGCGTAGTCAACGGGGTGCTACAGAGAGTGTGGATTGCCGAGGTCTCATGGAGGCAGACCTCGTCTGTGCTCGATTCAAGTGGCCGATGATCTCCTTTCATTCACCCAACACACAACGGACTGGGGTTCTTGTTGATAAGGTGCAATAAGATAAAAGCTGTGGTGGTGACCTCAATGGCCCAGGGTGATGTTGACGAAACAGGGAGGACGTTTTTAGCACTGCTGGCTCTCAACTCTCAACTACATGACAATGATGGTGTTGGCGGGAACCAGAAAGTTTCGAAAACTAAATTTTCGTAACTCTTAGTGAGATTAACTTTACCTTCGCCAACCCATCCTCCGCCTTGCGACTTTTCAGCTTGCATTCAGACCCGCATGCCACTCAAAATTTTGACAACTTCAGTGGTGCAATAGCTCTATGCGTCCACCGAACTCTTTGCCTCTACGACTGCATTTGCCTGGTTGATGTCTACGCCAGCTTGCTGCATGTTTTATAGTCGCCGTCCATCAGCTTGTCCCGAGAGCCACAATCTAATCGCAGAACTGGTCACCACAGACGTATCGGACGCTGTTATCTGAGAAGCATCGGTACTCAGTCTTTCACCCCTGCGGATGTCCCAACGACCATATTTAAACAGTTCGTCTCCTCTTTACTCTCCTGAGGTCTCCATAGGCGTCGATCTCTAACAACTTAAACGTGACAGAACGAGTAATGGTTTTCATCGACCGTTGTGAAAACGTGACCATCACTCGCAAGATGCTCCATCACTTCCTTAACACTCTGTACATTACTAAAGCCCGAAACATCCCTCAATATATCTTCAACACTCACCCCCGGCCCATCAGGCGCATGCCTCGCCTGCACGTAGTCATAGGCCGCTCTCTGAATCGGGTTGAGAGCCAATGAGTCCGTGACCGCATTCCCCATATCCGCCATGCCCGTATTCCCCGCCCCTCCAAACCCACCGCCGGCAGCAATTCCAACACCTGCACCCTTAGCACCAGTCTTTTTCCGCGTCTGCGCGAGATGGGTTGCCACGACATCCAGCCTGTGGAACACGATCTCGTTGTGATCATCCACGGGTCTGACGCGGAAGATGGCCAGATTCCTGTTGCCGTCCACGACCTGGATACCGGCCACAACACGCACCCATGCCCCATCCTTGATGCGCTGCCTTTTCGTGACGGCGTGCTCGTTGGATTGGTCCTCGTCCGCTGGCAGCATGTGGCTGCCGTTGATCTTTCCGGTCCCGTCATCGAGGACGAGCGAGATTGCCGTCATTTGCATCTCAGCTTTGATGATATGCGCGACCAAGGTCACTTGCAAAGCGGGCGAGCCGTTGATGTTGTAGTGCCTGTCATCTCCGTCTCCCGCGTTCGCCTCAAGGACTTGTTTGATTGTCGCTGCTACCAGTGTATCGTTGAAGGCCCTGCCTCCGTCACCCCCACCACCACCGCCGCCGCCCCCGCCGCCCTGACTCATGTAACCGCCGCCGCCGCCATAACCGCCGCCGCCGCCGCCATAGCCACCGCCGCCGCCATAGCCACCGCCGCCGTTGTCAGCGCCGCCATATCCCCCCCCGCCACCGTAACCGGCACCTCCACCGCCTGTCTCCATCCACGCGGGTAGCAGCAGCACGATAATGCGTTAGAAATCTGTGACCGCAATGGAACGAATGAGGGAATTGAAAGTAGAGGTGGATTCACGAACCGTAACCTCCTCCTCCGTAGCCACCGCCGCCGTAAGACATCTGACGTTGATTGCCTGCAATACCTCCCTCACCACGATTAAGGTTGAATATCAAGACGCACGAGAGCAGAAGCAAGCGAGTTGCAATCGATGACTTGGGTTTAAGACGCAGCGCTGGCAACGTTGATCCGCATGGCAGGATGAGTGTCTAAACTGAAGAGCAAGACTCCTTCCCGCGAAAAATCTGCTGTAGCTTTTTTCGCGGGAGCAAAATTCGTCATGTGTACACGTACGGCACTTCAAGCATGAACGAAATTGTCTGGATCCAATTTTAGAAGACACGATGTATATTTTGGCTCACAGAGCCCTTTCTCAATCAGCCACCTGACCTGAGAGAGAGAGGATCTTTATCCTTGTACAGTACGTCAAGACGTATGATAAATATATATCACGTTGCACGTGTAGTATACGTACACGTCGTGTACTGTACAATATATTTCACGAAAGGGGTACGGACAGAAAGGGAAAAGAGAGACAACTCGGGTCGTTTACGGAATGCCTGCAACACTGCGGTGCAAACTCAACTTGCAGTTGTCGAAACAACACATTCCGTGCTTTTGAAATGTTCATGTATTGAAGGGGGACGTAGATCTGTACACCATTTCCAATGTATTTCACCGACTCCTACTATGTCTGCAGCTCAGGTTCTAAACTGTATCGGCGGTTCACGTCGCAGTAAATGTATTTACTCGCCTATCACCTCACCTGGAGGGAACGGGTTGGTCTTGTACAGCCAATACAACTCGTAGAACCGACGAAATTACGCAGGGGCTCCCCAAGCCTGCTGACGATAGTTCAGAGTTTATGAACCAGATTCGACACTTACCGTCTCCCCGTACCAACGACGCCTTCATTGCAACACGATTTCTCTATTATATTCAGCTTCGTGCTGTCTTGATGCATTTCCTCTAATCCGAGTATTTCACTGACATCTCTGAGATCCGGTGCAAAACCCTTTTTTGGAGAGAACCTTTGATGCACATGCATCAGCCAATACATATTTGCCAGTCCGCGTCATGTTGAGGTGCATGCATTTTATGCGCTTCTTTTCCATCAAGAATGAGCTTGTTGCCGGAACCGCTCGCGGCAATCACGTTATTACTTTCCCCCTCCTGTCGGAATGCTTGTGGAGGACGAATCCGGTTCGGCATAGCCGGTTCATAGGAGCAATGGGTAGGATCCCATCCCGTCGACGCAACCTTCAATGCAATAATGACGTGCTAATGACATCGCCAACTGAATTACTGTAATCATTGCAAGAATAGCATTTCGAAAGACAGAGATCTTCAGACATATCCCTGTTTTGAAACACCAGTTGAAAAAGACAAACTCGTTCTTTGAAGAAAAAATACGTATTCACTTTAACTCCGGCCATGGCGTCGAAAACGTTGACATTTTGATACGGTACCGCAGCAACTCAGTGCCTTCAAATACCGCTGTTCTTCTATGCTTGTATACCGAAGCTGATGAAAAGATATAACCCGTGTCCCTTTCGTGCTGGAAAAAGGTGTAGTTCGTAACGATCCCTGCTGGATAAGTTCGACACCATACGTGTATCCATGCTACCCTTTCTCCGCTTTTCATCTGCAAAGAACGTGTTGCATTCCGAACACAGCACCACAAGATTCATACAATTCACGATGCCTCAATGAGACCTGGCAACCTGGACTTCTTCATGAGACAGCGAAACGCACGCACCTCTCCTTCCAGAACCACAGGAAACGACTATGACCCATCGGGAAACCAATCGGATCTCACCATAACTCCCTCACACGCGTCCGTAGTAGTCTCGACTAACCAATGACATGAATAAACCTGTTTATCTTGCTTGAGGGGAACTGTCGAGGCACCGCTACTATTCAAATTTTCATTGCTGCTGGCGCCAGAGTTGCTCGTGATGCGCTGTAACCAAGTATTGGAGAGGACTCGTAGTGTTCTTTCCGACTAGCTTGTATGGTGAATGGGATGCGACTTGGTTCTGTACGCAATTATTTTTGAGAGGTGAGCAGCAATTGGAGAGAAAACTCGAGAGCATGTGAGACGTGTGTGATCCACGGTGTTGAAACTGGCACCACTGTAAAAGAGAAAGACAAGGACGCGGTGGACATCCTGATGCCTGGCACAAGCTGCAGTACATATATTGAGATAGTGATGGGTGGGTTCGCGTTACGCGGTGGATATGCCAATTGCGTGCCCAGTCAACACGTGACGTTGCTGCTTAGCAAACGGCATACTGCTTCTGTTTGCGTGGCGCATCCACGTTGTGGCCTGGAAAAGCCAGGATGCTACTGATGGGATGGAGACACTTCGGCTACTTGAGAGTACTGCGATGTTGTTCCCTTCCTTCTCTGCGGTATCCTCGGAAGAGGACTGCGTGTCGCATCGGTCCAAGCAATGGCGGAATGATTGTAAGGGGATGGAAGCTAGGTAACAAAGACGGACATACTAATTCAATGATATTGATTGGGTTTGTTTAAGCTCAGTGCTTGTACAAGAACGTTGAAGCGTTTCTTTGACTCAGCACAGGAAGCGCCCCGAATTTCATTATACAGTACTGTACAGATCCGTGTCTCAATGCGGCACCAATACAACAGTCTTCTCCTATCATGCGATGCAACGACCTCTCTGCTACGTGCCATAATCTGGAAGCTTATTGACTGCTTCGAAACGCACGGAAGGCGTTTTGCTAAAGCTACACTCGTTTTTCTGAACGTTACACACAGCGGACCGTTGGCGTACTTGTTTACAGAGAGAGGCACGCGCATGGGGAATGATGCGCCAGATACAGAAGATTCGGTGAAAGGATCGGTGCTGTACTTTGATGTCGAAGGGTAGCCATTTCTCCATGTGTTGCACATTGTCTGGGAAGGCTCACTCACCTCTTAAGCATACACAGAGATAGCGGCTAGCACCGCAAGCGATTGCGTGAAAATAGCACGTAAGCTCAATTGTGTACAGTATACGGATGGGTCAGTACTGACTGACAAAGCAGGAAATATGATAAAGACCACAGCGATCCTGTCGCTCACACGTCACAAAATTCCCGGACCAATGCAGACTGTATAATGTTTACAGTCCTCTCCCCTGCCTCGTGTGCGTCCTACGACTTAGTCCAGAGCCTCGCACCTCCGAATCATGGAGATGACGTACTTTCAAGGTATCGTTTATGGCAGTTTCAAGCCTCTGTTTCAAATTTCAGGGTGCTATCTGTAAGAAACAAAGAAAGATTGTCTCAGGAGGGGTCTGTACTGTGTCAACACCTGGAAACCTCTTCAGCTTCCTCACCAAAAGAATTGTACCCACACCCCGCCCCTACACTGTACAGACTTGTATGTCTACAAATTTAAAAGGACCTTGCACGAGCCTTGTCCAGTCGGGCTCGCTGTGGGGAATCGATATAAGGGCTATCCTTGCCCGCTTCAAGTCGTGAGTCTGTTCAAGAAATCGTGCTGCATTGCCGCATTCGTGTGTAGAGAGAAATCACGCAGACGCGTAACAACAAGTCGCAAGACTTTCGCCGCTTAGTTGTGTATGAAAAGTACAACCACTCAACGCTACCCCCTACCATAACGTACTACAGTAGGTCAGCCTGAGCAGGTCATACTATTTTCCTCGACCTTCCGAATCCACAAAGACTCGAGACTATTAAACGCATAATTAGTAAGTCTGTGCCATTCTCTGCCGTTCTCAAAGCAGCACGACGTCAAGCACTGCATAATTTCATGCTTCAGAAATGTTGAGCGTTACTCCCGTCAACGGGCAACATTCCGATTCTTTTTGCTGCACATCTGGATCCCTTGCGATTCAAATCTCTTCGCACATACCGCAATACAGTACTTACTGTCAAAGGAGAGGTCCCTTCCGTGAATCCATATACATACTATTCCCACAGGAATATTTCGTTGTATACAGTTACGTACTCATCAAGGATACGGATCTGCTTGTTGACGGCTCTTTCACTCGTGCATCTGATTCTGTTTTCATTCAAAGGAAAATAAGAAGATTACCTTTCGCATGCAAAGGAACACGATCTGCGCCCAACGTAGTGACATTTTCTACAGTACCTCTTCTACATAATCGGAGGAAGCCGTTTCAATATGTTGTACAGTACTACTGTACGCAATAGTTTTATGATCACTGTAGTTTTTCTCTTCAAATTGACTGCCGATGACTAGCGCAGAATTGAAGAACCTTTTCCTTGAGTCAGAGGTTCAAACCTGTCTTTCACTTGTGACGGTGCAGCCAGAGACTGTATGGCGCTTGTTTGACGATAATATAAATTACAAAGATGTTTGAGGCTATCAAAAGTGACAAGCCTAGGAAAACTACAACTCCAACAATCAGCGTACTGCAGTAATATCGAACAAACCTGCTGCTTCTGTAAACGAAAGGAATTAAGGGACTCATCTATAATGAGACCTACACTATTGCTTGTCTATTGTGCTTACATTAAATGGGCTATCCCATCTTCAACA